CTTTTCTCACCAATTCGTTTGTTTGATTTTCACAACTCTTACATTTGATTTCTTATATCCCATTAATTTCTAATATTAAAAATAATTTGGCAACTCTTTTAAGGAAATAATCATTCACAATAGACGTTTTGTTTACCGCGAAAATATACGTCATTACTTCCAATACCGCCAAAAGATCAGCAAGTCATATGTATTTTGTGAAAATTTTTCTTAAAGTGAACACTTACCTTTACAATCCTTGTCTATCATTTGAGCCGTGGGATTACAAAAGTTTAACAAATTAACTTTGGAAAACGTATCATTCATAGAATTAATATTAAGCGGAGTATTTTGTGAAACGCATTGCAGACCAATTTGTATATTTATCTTATTGGAGTCGTTAAGAGAATTCTGATTGGTGCTACCACTAGAGTTGTTTGAACGCAACAACTGTTGTTGAGCGATGGGATTTTGTTGTTGCTGATTAGCTGTTGTAGTGTTAGCAGAAGAAGAACCACTGGAAGATGATGAAGCAGGCGAAACCGTGCAGGGCTGAGCATTTGAAGGTAAGCTTTGATAAATGGGCACTGCGGCATAAGGCAGAGTGCCGGCTAGAGCATAAGGTAGTGGCATGTTGTGGGCTGGCAACATGGGTGAAAGAAAAGTGGCGGTACCATAAGGCCATAAAGCATGCATTTCTATAAAGGAAGTAAAAATAGATTTTTGTAATTTTTTAATTGAAAATCGTTTACCTTGATTCATTATATTGGCTAAACGTAAACGTTCCATTTGCTGTTGTTGTTGCTGTTGTAAATTAGATGCTGCAGCTGATTTCAAGGAATCCGTAAAAGGGAGACTATTACTATTCAATTGAGAGTTAAGTTGAGCCGTTGAATCCAGTTGTTAGCATTTAAATTATTAACAGAAATATTGTATTCTGTAGCACAACCGTTACCCAATATTTACGTGCTTTTTTGAAAAGAAATTAAATTGAAAAAATTGTTAGAAAATCAACGCCAACTGCTAAAAAGATTAAATAATTTTCAACTGTCATCTACCTACATATGTATGTAGATTCTTCCTAACCTCAAAATTGTATATTGACAGTTGCTAGTCAAAATTTCTACAAAATAATGTATTTTTATGCAAAAACATTAAAATACTTACGTTTTTTGTGGCGCATTTGATGCTCATTCATATTCATTTAATTTTATAAAACAATACGTTAATCTGTGGTAGGAAAAGGAAATTATTTGTTGTTTGGCAAAAACAATAAATTAATGTGTTTGTTGCTATTACCAATTGGATTTGTGGGTTTTCCCTTTCCGCTTTCAATTTAAAGAAACTTTAATTAATTCTTCTTAAAATTATAAAAATATATATTACAGCGTATTATTTAATGCCAAAATAACTATTATGATAATGCTCTTAAATGTTAATTATAGAAATAAACGAAATTTAGCGCGTTTGATTGTAGAACAAATTTGTTTTATAAAAAAATTGTTTAAAACAATATGGCGGCAAATGTCATGTTTTCTTCAGTGCATTCCAAACTGTTAGTTATTGTGAATTATTGAATGTTTCATTAATATAATAATCAAAAAACTTGGCAGCACTTTAGTGGTTTATAAAGAAAATCAATACACAGTGAATATACAATTTTACCAAAAAGAAGCATTTATTTTTATCACAAACATTTTGCACAAAAAGTTTTAGATTACATTTATAATTTTTATAATTAATATATTAAAAGTAAATACTCATTACTTTCTAACATGTCCGAAGATTGTGTTGTTACCAATGAAATAACCAATAATCGAAATAAACAAATGTTAGATGTTGTTTTTGTAATTCACTCATTTTAAAAGAGCAGCAGGGTCTGTACGAAAAAAGTCAGGTGGGTGTGTATGTTTGTTTGGACTACCATAAAGAATTCCATTATTTTATTCTATATCATTTTAGTTTGATTTACCTTTAATGCATCAAAAGAATACCAAAGATGTTCATACTATAGAAACTGAAAAGCTTGAAGATTTTTGGCTTGTCGATGACATGTTTACATTTGAAAATATTGGTTTTTCCAATACCATTGACCAGCGAAAATTTTTAATTTGTGCCGACTGCGACATGGGCCCAGTGGGCTATCATGATTTGGGCTACGAAAAAATGTTACATTGCCTTGAAACGGGTTAAACATGGCAATGAACCTGTAAAGGCTGTGACGACTGCCACGTAAGAAATGGCCGAATATTGGATTTTTTTGATTCCTTAACAAATGTATTTTGTTTGTTTATTTGTATTAGAAATTTTGTAATTTATTTAAATAGTATTTTAATAATTCATATATTAAGACGCATCTTATTGGAATAGTGTTTTGTTGGTGTTTTATATTTAATTTTTCGTGGGTTGTGGATTGTTGTCGTAAAGACTATTAACTAGACTAAAGACTAGACTATAGACTAGACTATAGACTAGACTATAGACTAGACTATAGACTAGACTATAGACTAGACTATAGACTAGACTATAGGCTAGACTATAGACTAGACTATAGACTAGACTATAGACTAGACTAGACTAGACTATAGACTAGACTATAGACTAGACTATAGACTAGACTATAGACTAGACTATAGACTAATATAGACTAGACTATAGACTAGACTCTAGACTAGACTATAGGACTAGACTAGACTAGACTATAGCACTAGACTAGAGACTAGATAGACTAGACATAGACTAGACTATAGACTAGACTATAGAATATAGACTAGACTATAGACTAGACTAAGACTAGACTATAGACTAGACTATGACTAGACTATAGACTAGACTATAGACTAGACTATAGACTAGACTAGACTACTAGACAGCTATAGACTAGACTATAGACTAGACTATAGACTAGACTATAGACTAGACATAGACTAGACTATAGACTAGACTATAGACTAGACTATAGACTAGACTATAGCCTAGACTATAGACAGACTATAGACTAGGACTATAGACTTAGACTATAGACTAGACTATAGACTAGACATAGACTAGACTATAGACTAGACTATAGACTAGACTATAGACTAGACTATAGACTAGCATATAGACTAGACTATAGACTAGACTATAGACTAGACTATAGACTAGACTATAGACTAGACTATAGACTAGACTATAGACTAGACTATAGACTAGACTATAGACTAGACTATAGACTAGACTATAGGACTAGACTATAGACTAGATCTATAGACTAGACTAATAGACTAGACTAGACTAGATAGACTAGACTAGACTATAGACTAGACTAGACTAGACTAGACTATAGACTAGACTATAGACTAGACTATAGACTAGACTATAGACTAGACTATAGACTAGACTATAGACTAGACTATAGACTAGACTATAGACTATACTAGACTAGACTATAGACTAGACTATAGACTAGACTATAGACTAGACTATAGACTAGACTATAGACTAGACTATAGACTAGACTATAGACTAGACTATAGACTAGACTATAGACTAGACTATAGACTAGACTATAGACTAGACTATAGACTAGACTATAGACTAGACTATAGACTAGACTATAGACTAGACTATAGACTAGACTATAGACTAGACTATAGACTAGACTATAGACTAGACTATAGACTAGACTATAGACTAGACTATAGACTAGACTATAGACTAGACTATAGACTAGACTATAGACTAGACTATAGACTAGACTAGACATAGACTAGACTATAGACTAGACTATAGACTAGACTATAGACTAGACTAGACTAGACTATAGATTAGACTATAGACTAGACTATAGACTAGACTATAGACTAGACTATAGACTAGACTATAGACTAGACTATAGACTAGACTATAGACTAGACTATAGACTAGACTATAGACTAGACTATAGACTAGACTATAGACTAGACTATAGACTAGACTATAGACTAGAATATAGACTAGACTATAGACTAGACTGTAGACTAGACTATAGACTAGACTATAGACTAGACTATAGACTAGACTATAGACTAGACTATAGACTAGACTATAGACTAGACTATAGACTAGACTATAGACTAGACTATAGACTAGACTATAGACTAGACTATAGACTAGACTATAGACTAGACTATAGACTAGACTATAGACTAGACTATAGACTAGACTATAGACTAGACTATAGACTAGACTATAGACTAGACTATAGACTAGACTATAGACTAGACTATAGACTAGACTATAGACTAGACTATAGACTAGACTATACTAGACTAACTAGACTAGACTAGACTAGACTATAGACTAGACTATAGACTAAGACTATACTAGACTAGACTATAGACTAGACTATAGACTAGACTACTAGACTAGACTATAGACTAGACTATAGACTAGACTATAGACTAGACTATAGACTAGACTATAGACTAGACTATAGACTAGACTATAGACTAGACTATAGACTAGACTATAGACTAGGACTATAGACTAGACTATAGACTAGACTATAGACTAGACTATAGACTAGACTATAGACTAGACTATAGACTAGACTATAGACTAGACTATAGACTAGACTATAGACTAGACTATAGACTAGACTATAGACTAGACTATAGACTAGGACTATAGACTAGACTATAGACTAGACTATAGACTAGACTATAGACTAGACTATAGGACTAGACTATAGACTAGATTATAGACTATAGTCTAGATTAGACTATATATTAAAAACTCCACTAAACATAGACTATAGAATAGCTAGACTAGACTGTGGATCTGACGTTTTATAAATAAAATTTTTTTACACTGTAATTTTTTTGTTTTTATTATTTTTATTAAATTTTTATTCAATACTTTCCATTTATGACATTATATCAGCTTTTACAATTTTTACTAAAGAAATACATATTATTTGTTTTTTATTTTTATAAATTAATTTCATTTATTTTTTGTTAACAAATTACATATTAATATTAAAGGACATTTTAGAAGGATTTTTTTTGTTTTTTTTTTAACTTTTGAGCATTTTTTATTAAGAGTTCTTTGTATTTTTGTTTTAGCATTATTTATTAATATTTCGTTTTCTTTTAAGACAAAAAACTACCATGAACTATAAGGATTAAAGTGGGAAGGGAAGGGGGCAAAAAAGTAATGATGTTTTGAAGAAAAAAAAAATGCTCTATAAGGAAACTATATTATTAAAATGTTTCTTTTTCTTTGATTTAATAAAATGTGTGGGGTGTTTTATTAGCTCTGTTTTTAAGCTGTTATGTAATTTTCCAGTTGATTTTTTTTTATTACTATTTATTTAACAATATATTTGCTTTCATATTAGTTTTATAATAATTTCTTGTTTTTTTTTTATTGGCAGTTGGTCAGTAACGAGTGAATGTGTGGGTGTATTTGGGGGGCGTTTATAATTTTAATTTGGTTTGAAATTTGTATGTATGTATGTATATTTTTAATGTGTTCATTCTGCCGATTGTTTTATTATTTTTAGTATATGATTTTCTATTTATATTGAAAGTGAGTTTCTTTTTTGGTTTAACAATTACAACAAGAATGTGTGTAAAGTGCAAGGTTTTGGTTTTTTATAGACAGTTTTTTTTTTAGATTTAAAGTGTGGCGTCATTTATGCAAAATATGACAGTTAGGATATTTTTCGCTGTTAATGAAAACATATGTCTATAGACCAAAGTTTAGTCAGGACTGTAGACTTAAATATAGTCAACAATTTTGTCTAGGCTTAATTATAGACCAGGTTTTTGTTTAGATTCATGACTACAGTCTTAACTATAGGCAACAACATTATAGACTAAACTATTGTCAAGTCTAAGTATAAGTCAGGACTATAGACTAGACTAAACTATAGCCAAAAATCTTGTCAATATTATAGAAAAGACTTGTGTTAAGACTATATAGATTAGACTCTTGTCAAGACTATATACTTATTAAGCTGTAGTTAAGGCTATAGTCTAAACTATAATCTAGTCGATAGTGTAGCCTAAAGTGTGGTCTATAATCTAGCCTATAGCCTATTCTATAGTTCGGTCTACAGTCTAGCCTTGAATATGAACTAGATTATAGGGTAGACTATAGGCTAAACTATAGACTAGACTATGGGCTAGACTATAGACTAGACAATATACTACGCTATAGACTAGACTATAGACTAGAATAGCAACTAATCTATAGACTACACTCTGGAGTACACTCTTCTAATAGATTATATGATAAACTAGCATTAGACTAAACTATAGACTAGATTGTGGGCTAGACTATAGACTAGGCTATAGGGTAGACTATATAACTATACGGGACTATAGGGTAGACTAGTACTAGTATATAACTATACACTAAGCTATGGCTAGACTATAGAATAGACAATAGACAACACTGTAGGCTAGACAAGAGTCTACACTTTAGATGAGACTATAAACTAGAATAGTGACTAGACTATAGACCACACTATTGACTAGACTATATAATAAACTTTAGGCCAGACTATAGACTTGACTATATGCTAGACTATGGAAAAGTATATAGACTAAACTATAGACTAGACAATGGGTTAGACTATACAATAGACTATACATTAGACTAGACTATAGTCTACAGTATAGGATAGACTACACTCTAGTATAGTGACTAAACTATACTCTACTCTATAGATTAGACTATAGAATGAACTATAAACTAGTATATAGACTAAACTATAAGCTAGACTATGGGTTGGTCCTTAGACTAGACAATAGACTATATTATAGACTATGCAGTAGACTATACTTTAGACTACATTATAAGATAGACTATAGACTAGATGAATGACTAGTCTATAGACTAGAAGAATGACTAGTCTATAGACTAGACTATAGAATAAACTATAGACAACACTATATACCAGTCAACAGACTAAACTATAGCCATTATTACAGACTAGACTATAAACTGGTCTAAAACTTTATTATTTACGTTTCATTTTAGATAAAATCTGATAAATCAGCTGTAGATTTAATTTGTTCATATGATCTTCCCTATAGCGAACTATTCGAGTCATATACATACATACATACGACCAAAGATTTGCCAACACTTTAAATATTTTGTTGATTTCTTTATTTTTCTCATAAGATTGGGTGTGTAACTGCTTTATGATTTTTATATATTTATAAATTTATTTGATTTTCAATTTTCGTATTTATTTTTATAAAATTTTCTTAATTTTAATTAAATACAGAAGGTGTTACCAAGTGTGTTTTGTGTGTATTTTTTAACATTTGTTTTTTTTTTATGCTAAATTATTTTTAATTTTTATATATATTTTGTAGTTTTTTAAAAAGCAGTTGATTTTTTTTTTTAATAATTTCTTCTAATAGCTAGTCTAAAGTGTTTTTTTTTTTTTAATTGAAATTAAATGTGTTTTTGGTTTTGTATTTTTCAATAAACATTTAATTTCTTTTTAACTAGTTTTTTTTTTTGGTATTAGCTGTGTTTTTTTCTTCTTTGGTTTTTAAACTTATTTTTTAAAAAAATTTTTTGTTTTCTTATAATATTAATAACAAATTTAAAAAGTTTCATTTGTAGGTTTTTGGAAATAAAATCTTTTATGTTTTTTTTTTTTTTTACTTAAATTCAAAAAATATTTAACGGTAGGCTACAATATATTCGTACTTTTTTTCACTTAATTTCTTGCACATTATTTTCATTAATACTTTCAGGGAGATTTTTTTTTATAATTTTATTTTTTTTTATTGTATTTTATGTTAAATTTATTAAAGTTTTTTTATTTTCGTATTGTGTTATTTTGTAAGTAGGATTTTACATTTTGTTTAGCACATTATTATTTATTTAAATTTTTCTTCAGTAATAAAACTTTTATGATTAAAATATTCCATTTAAAGCTTATTTGTTGAGTTTAGAATGGGAGCAGGAGAAGAAGAAGTTTTAAATAAATACACTAAAAGAAAATATGTATGTCAAAAATTTTCGGTTTTGTATTAAATTTTTTGAAATTTTCAAAGGAATAATGAAACCTTGTAATATAAGTCTAAAAACTTTCTTTCAGTGTATTATTAATAAATCATTTTTACTAAAATTACATTAATTCAAAATTACACAGTAAAATCTCTGCCTACAGGTAGATTTAAAGAAATTTCTCACCTTTTAGCTTTATGTAAAATCCCATGGAATTCTGAACAATTGTTTAGAAAATAAAACTTAAAACTAACGCTGAGGAGGGGAGGAAAACTTGTTCAACAAATTATAATAATGTTAGAAAAAAACAAAATCATAACAATTATAAAAATCACTAATTAAATTTAAAATTAATATTTATGAAAATTTCAAATAAAAACGAAATTAAACAAATTTTTTCAGCAATAAAGCTACAGCAGCAAATAATGATGTAGCCATGGCTACCGATGACACGCCCAGACCGGAGGCAGCATTACAATTATCGGTATCACAGGAGCAGACAACTTGACGGCCACCAAAGCCAGCGCGTTGATAGCAGAAGTTGTTGGTAGTTTGATTTTGGAAACCACAGGTACGTATGACACGGCTATCGGGGGGTACTGTTGGATGGGGAAAAGTAAAGAACAAAAGAAAATGTTAAAGCCAAACTTAAATTGAATTCTTTTTTTTTTTTTTTTTGTCAATACTTACAATTGTTTACTGAAAACTCAATAATTTGTGTGATTTTACGACAATATGTTGAGATGCCACGACCCCGTGATGAATAATCCTCTTGACAGTCTTTGAGTAGACTATCGGGTGGCATGTCTAATGCACAATTTGCATCTTTATGACTGTTGCAGACAAAACATTTAATAGCTGAACCTGCAAACGGATAAAAAATATGAT